CACAATAAAGCTCTCCTGCATCCAAGTCCTGTCTCCCTTTCTTTTTGTCCACCGCCTTTTGCCTGTTGGTGTGGGAGAGCAAATGCTTGTCTGTCTATATTTCACCAGTGCATACCATCCTTTTTTTTATACGTAGAATATAGATAATTTCTGTTTCCCTCTTCTCTACCTCCGGATGAGTAATCATCCTCTCCACGGAGCATCTTCTTTTCCCTAATTATCAAGAAGAACAATTCAGTTAGGGAAGTGTATTAATGTCTTGGGAGGCAGTAGTTGGACTACAGATGCCTCTTCAAGAAACATATATATTTATAAATATGTGTACAGGTATAAATTTATGCCTTAATATCCATATATTAGATTGTTGTTTTATAACTAGTGTTCATGAGCATTCAGAAGAAGGTATGATGCTGTCTTATCACTCTGCAAATCTTGGTATTTCTAAAAACAGCTACTGTATTGTATTCAGGTAATTTGTAACTCCTTTGCAGTCAATAACACACACAAGTAATCTTTTTCTTAGTTTTATTTAAAATGACCCTTCCCACAACATTATTTTATGCCTTTAGTGTAGTACTTCTGAGAGTAATTAATTTAAGATTATTCCCATTGAAATTTCTTTGATTCACCCTGTCTTTTGGAGAATTAGTTATGTATTGGTAGTAAAAGGTAAATTGAGTCTGCCGTTCCCCTTGATTTTACAGGTTCTGCTTAAATTACCACTACTCTTCGGTACTGTGTATTTACAATAGATTACCCAAGGGCTTGCAATCTCCCTATAGCTTACCATCACCTATTTGGGCTATTCAGAGAATTTTTCCTCTTCTATCACTTTATTCTGATTATAGCCTGTGTTACACCAGATCTTTTCTCCGTAGTCAGTAGGTGCATGGCTTTGCACTGTATTACTTAAGATCTACCGTTACTATTACTCCCATCAGTGAAGTCACTTTGTTTTTCAGGTCTTAAAGTCTGATTCCCTCCTGTTTAATGTCACTCAGCTTTAAGTTATCAACACATAAACAGAATGCTTCCAAATTATGTCCCAATGCCGTTAATGCAAACAAATAGTTATAGGTTTTCTGAGACTGGTCCTGAGTAACCAATGTAGTAAACTCCCTCCATTCCTATAAATCACGTATAACATTGGACACTGACAGAAAGGGTATCTCTACGTACTATTTTGCAATCAGACATGACCTCACCCTGAACAGGCATCCAGATCAAATAGAAGCTACGTAATCATGTTAGCTGGGTGCTAATAACTCTCACCAGTCTTGTTATCTTGGGCAAGGCACTTGTTGTCTGACACAATATACATCTAATTGGGTGCTGGCTGGTACCTGCCTGACACTGCCTCGTTGAGAGAATCAGTGGAAAAGTTGGCAGTTGGAGCTTGGGTGTTCAGCTGTGATGATGTATGACTGAAGTACCTCTTAGAGATTGTATGGGAGAGTAAGGATCCGGGTGTTGAGCAGGAAAGTAATGAGAGGAAATCAGGCATCTGTGTTTTGTAAAGCTGTCCCAGGATTTGCCCTGGGCTGAACCAGCTGGGAGGAAAGAGGGCTTTGCTCAGCACAAGAGAGGTACCTGAGCCAAGGAGACACAGGGCTGGTGCGGGTCAAGCCAGGAGGTTGGTTGCCGAGCTGCTGGGAATTCATGGCAGCAGCATCCTTGCCTCAAACCATGTGACAATGGAGAGCAGCAGCAGGGACAGAGAACCATTTCCATGAGCTAAAAAGGCAGGAACCTTTCTTCTCCATCTCAGCTGCCTGGGCTTTCCACGCACCCCAGGCACTCACAGGGTAGGGGCAATGAGGGCAGGCAGTGTTGGGAAAGGGAGGATGAAGCAGGCAGAGAAAGGAGAACCTTTCAGTTAAAGGCTTTTTTTGGTCAAAATATTCTCAGTAAGCATTTGTTAATCAGTAAAAATAAAATAGTGTTTTCTTAGAATAAAAGCAATATTCCTGAGTACAATAGACTAATTTTCATTTCAACTGTTTTCTAGTTATAGCACACACCCATCTGACATATCCATCTATAGTGGGGGCAGGTGTGTGTGCGTGAGCATTTAAGTTAACTCTTAAAATCAGAATTGCTATTCCTTGACACTGACAGAGGGTTGAGATCAAGAAATTGTACATTGATGCATGGACCTTTGCTTTGAGATTCTCAGAAAAGCAATAGGTAAATACTTTGTAATGCATTAGTTCATGGTTTTTTACTTCAACCAGCTGACTTACAGACTCAGCCAAAACTTCCCTGAGGCAACTGTTATCACAGCAGTGATTAACAAAAAAAAAAAAAAAAAAAAAAAAAGAAGAGGTAGTTCTTGATCTTTGCTCATCAGATACCTATCTTAAAAATTGTTTCCCATTGTTTACCTTCCTCCTATTGTTTCTTTTCAGAGTATGCTTTGACAGAACTTCAGGCCATGCTTTTTTACTTTGTCTTTGAAGACAGTTTGATGATTTCTACTACTTCATCTGGGAAGATGTAAAATTAAAAGGAATACTAGCACTAAATTAAGTAGTGAAAATTGGACTAACTACTGGAAGTCTAGAAGCTAAAAAAAATTAGTGTATAGAAGATGATGATTTCAGCTCAGTAGCAATGAAAGACAGGGCAGAGGGGTTGCTAAACAGCAGGGCCTTGTGCGGCCAGGGCTGAGGGGTCTCCCCAAAGGCAGTTCAGCCTGGCTCTGCCGGGGCCGTGCGGCTAGTCTGTCTCGGCTTGGGTGCGGGGTACGCGCAGGGCGAGGGAGCCCTGCAGCCCATGCAGGGTCTTGAAAGGAACAATGGAGAGGCAGGTGTTGGGTGCAGGATTGTTTTATTGCAAGGGCAGGAAAGCACGCACTGGAGAAAGACACATAAGGCAGAGGCCGGCAGGTTGTCGCCCCGGGCTTCAAGCGAGGTGTTCCTTCAGGCTTCTCCCAGGCGGTGGCTGTTGCAGGGAGAAGTGAGCGTCCGCTGGGACAATGGTGGAGTTGCACATTTGGCCACCGGCAGGGGCAAGGAAGAGGAGATGAAGCAAATGAAGAAGGAATTGAGAAGTGTAATTTATGGAGCTATTCTGACTCCACTGTATTACGTGGAAGTCTTTGATGCTCTGCCCCTTACTCAGGAGCTCAGTTGAGGATAAAGACTATATCATGCATTTGTCACTCATTCCTTAGTCAAGGGATATTTCTGTAGGATTTAGCAGGGTCCGCAGCTGCCACGGCGGTACCTGCTGTACCGGTAGGAGTAAGGGCTGCAAGAGCCAGAACCATAGGATCTACCATAGCCATACAGACCCCTGTAACCCAGGGAGCCCCCATAGCCATACAGACCTCCACAGCTCAGGGAGGACCCCCCATATCCATACAGACCCCCTTGGCCCCCGTAGCCCAGGGACCCCCCATAGCCCAAGGAGCCCCCATAGCCCCCATAGCCCAGGGAACCCCCGAAGCCCCCAAGGACGGGTGCACCAGAGGATCCCACCACTGAACCCTGGGGGAAGGAGCTGAGGATGGGTCCGGGGAAGGTGACGACAACCGGGGGTGGCTGGATCACAGTCGTGGAGTCAGGGCACTGACGGACACACGGCTCATTCCCGCTGTCAGCAAGGGGCTGGGGACGGTTGATGCCACCAACGGCAGTAGAGCACAGGTCATAGCAAGACATCTTGCAGGGATGGAGGTCAGTCTGCAAGAGTTGATTTCAGCAAGTACAAGACATTATTTACATACATAAATGTCCTATACAGTTCACTGCCTTTCCTCAGACAAGAGTGCTTTGAAGTACACCAATTTACCCATGTCTATTAGAGATGAAAATTAAATCAGAACAGCAAAATTAGTTGCTCAGATGCTTTGGTGAGTCAGTGGATCAGCAAGGACTGGGACTCTAAAGATGGAGTGTGTTGTTATGCATGATTTCATGACTCTAACTCTTCATTCCCACTGATCTCCTTTGTGCTGAGTCTTGTGAGAACAGGGATTATAAGTCATTGTCTATTCAGATTTGCTCAGTGATTTGTTTGTTGAGACCATTACAAGGGAATTGCAAAGATTCTTGTCCCAAATTTTCAGACATTGAATCAGGGCACTGAGATATTTACAACTAGCTTAACGACACAGTGTTTTGATTCTGGGCTCCAAACTCTTTAAAAATAAAAAAAAAAATCTCACCTCAAACAACTTGCACCCATCAAAATGAAAAACCAGCATTTCACCTGTCAGCTCCTTAAATTCCTTTCATGATCCCTCTTTCTCTTAATTAAATAAATTTCTTACAGAACATTTTCAACAGCTCTGAGTTCCTCTTTTTGTCCTACTCTGTCTAAGCCAATGCCTGATTTCTGGTAGTATTAATGCCCATTTAACTTGAATTAAAATAAAAGCACTTTGAGTGATGTGTAATTGAAGGTCTGCTTCTAAGCTCAGCATTTCCCTGTGAACCATGACGGTTTAAACATTTTCAAATATTTCCAGTTATCTATATAAACAGAGAAGAGGAATGCATGTTGAACTAGGCACATCATTTCTTCAGCTGTTGGAGGTGAACTAATTTCTGCCATATCAAGGAACTTTCAGTTTGCTTTGAAATTAAATACCAACCCTGAATGCAGAGAACAGCAGTCCATAACACTTTTAATCATATTTGAAGTTTTATCTTTTTACCTAATATTTCACCCAGTAGTTTTTAATGGACGAGACCATCCTAGATTAAATTGTATAGCAAAAAGCTATTCCAATAGTTGTAAAGAGCAGATTCAGACTTACCTGATTCACCGAGGAGAACAAATGAAGAGAAGGAGTTGGAAGAACCCAGAGTGGAGAGAGCTTTTATACAGTTCAGAGTGCCTGAGGGATGAGAGGCTGGTTTTGTGAATGTGGATCTAATTAGTTGACACAGCACATTTTTTGTATTGATAGCTCCTCAAAGTGATGAAATTGTTTCGCTTTCTGTTTTTGTTTATTACTTGATTTCAATTATCATGTAACATAACACACGCATTACATCACGCAAGGTTCTTTCATCTAAGGGTGATGGGTGAAATTAATGCATCTTTCATCCTAAAACATGATTCATGAAATTAATATCAGTTTTCTATTCTCTTTGGAGTTGCACCATGTAGTAAGCTGCTTATACATAGATATTCTTCTTTTGCTGCCTTATATGACAATGATGCACAGACATTTTTTAGAGATGACCTGCTGTGAGGTGTTTCTTTTGAAGTCCCTTATATAAGTCTTGCCTATTCTGAAAGATAAAATATATCCTATCATTAAATCCTCAGTAAGGCGGGCAATATTTTTTGCGTGCTTAGGTTTATTTCTGGGATGCGATACGATTCATATTGGAATCCATGGAGGATTCTCAATACTCTCTGAATCAAATTGTATTGCGAGCATTCCCGAACACAGTGGCAGATGTCCAAGACAGCCTTAGGTTTTATCTGACCCTCAAACTACAGCTTAAAGCTGGATTTAGTTCTGAAAGGAGAGATATTTATATTTTTAATGCTTTGGCTTGAAAGCTCAAAATCATCAAATTGTACACTGAATTCATATCTAAATTTGTGATTTACTGAGATAGCTGTGTGTTTTTGTAGAAAGTATATAGGAGAAACCCCAAATTTAACTGCATTACAAAAAAGCCTTTCGTTTTTGAAAGGAAGAACAGCGCTATGAAGTGAGATTTCAGAGTAACATACTAAACCACAGTCTAATAACATTAGACAATATATAACACCTCAATAGATTCACCCCAGAATATGCAATTCTTACTGGTGTCCCATTTGCTCATCTTCCATGTCTATCTCTGCCCTTCTCTAACACATCTGCAGGTACATTGAACAACCTCCTTTTGGCTGTTCAAAACCGCCGAGACTTCCTGCTTAAATCAAAGAACTTTCACAGGCGTTAAAGGTTTTCTGTAGCTTTTATTTCAACTACATATCCCAAAGGTAAAAGCAATCTTTTAGACACAGAAGCATCTAAAGTGCCATCAAAGTAACATCAAGAAGTGGGCAGATTCCCAGTGAATATCTGAAATCATAAGCAGTCAGGGATATTCAAAACTTTCAGCTCAGTTTGATCCACAAGTTTGAGAGGGTACATTTTCCTGAAGTTTCCATTAATTACTATCTTGCTCCTTAGGAGTCCTTGATCCTGGCCTACAACAGATCTTGCAGCCAGTCTCATCACATTCATGGCATCTTTCAGCAGAGAGCAATTATGAGGTGGGAATCCACTGGGGAAGGTAAATGCTGGCTTTTGCTGAGGTTTCTTTCTGTGCTTATGGCATTATTGTAATACTATATCATTATCATGGTTATCATAATCATCAACATGGTTATCTTCAGACCACATATTATTTCTAAATTATGAGCTTTTCCAAATCTGGAGACACATATGGACGTTTCCTGAGCTATAATACTGGAAAAAAGCCATCTCAAAGTTTTACAAGAATATTCTAAGGGATTTTCAAATACCTCATGAACACCCATTACAGTTTGTACATACTGTGTCATAATTACATAAAAAGTATACCTAGATGCATACACCCCACTATTATGAGAGATTATCATATTAAAGTAAGTAAGTTAAGGTCACTTAGGTCTTTCCCGTAATCAGTTCATGGTTTATAACACTTTTTGGACCTTCATTTCTTTGACATTAAAAATAAATTCCACCTTCTTTCCCATTAAAATGCACATTGGTCCAGAAACAAAAATCTGTTTGAGTTAACTGAACAATTAGCCGGAAAAAACCCAAACCAAAAATCCCAAGCAAACAAAAAAACCCCCAACCCCAAAACACCAAACCCCAGTGTACAATCGGCTCTGTCTTCATTGTGTCAGAGCTAGAATCCCTTTCAGTAGTCACATCTTACTGCCTGATTTACTTGCTTATTTTAGTCCTACATTCCTAGGTACATCCCTCTAACATGTAAGAACAGGAGGATAAAACACAATAAAATATAAAGGAAAGGAAAGCAAAGCTTGATGAAACAACTCAGAAAAATCAGTTTCAATTGACTTGTAACTGCCAGCTGAAATATTTCTCTGCTCCCCGGACTGAAAGACAACTAGTAGAGAACCATCCAAAAGCCATTAGAAGATGCTCCCGATTATTGTGTTTACCTTGTATTGAGTAGCTGGAGGTAGAAGTGCTAACTCTGCAGAAAGAATGTTTTTACCCTTGTTATTTGTCTCCAGCCTTTATTGAGATCTTGAAAGAAATTCTATTTTGTCTCCAGGTATACTGTTGATTACACTAAAAGACCTGTAACTGGACAAAAGAAATGACTGTCCTCCTGTCATCTTAATTATGCAGGACTCTTAAATAAATCAAGTCAGCCTACTTCCTCCTCTAATGCTAAAGAAAGCAATGGAATAATAAAAAATAATTCCACACATAAAGCCTGGAGATAATAAAGAGGTCTGTGGTGGAGTGTGCAAGTCACGCTATGTGTGGGTTTGAAGTGCCTGCAACGCACAAGCAATAAGCAAAAACAATTTCAGCACTTTGGAGAACTACGTGTCCTACAATTTGGGGTTGGTATCTAATTATGAGCTCACGCACAGGATGCCTAATGTCCTCCAGGCGATCGACAGAGCTGTATAAAAGCTCTCTACATTAAGTCTTTCTATCCACTTCTCTCACCTTACTCGCCTTCGTGAATTGGGTAAGTCAGACTTCTCTCAAAAACTTTGCTATACTTGCCGTCAAGAACTCTTGATTTTAACTTAGGACCAAGTCCTCTTCAGTTACTGCCAGGCTGCTAGTGATCTGTAGATTATTTGCTGCTGGAAATAGTGTTTGGTTTCTCATTCATTACCAGGCCACCTGAAAAGATAGGCTCCAGAAAAAGGGCCTATCAAGCAGTTTTGAATCTCAAAGTTGTAACATTTTAGCACTTCAAAGAATTCCTTGATTGTTTTAAGAGATAAAGAATAGTTCATATATATGGTTCTATATGGCTGCATTTAGCAGAGTTCTGGTGAGTTTATAACAGGAAAGATCAAACTTATTAAGTAGAAATCATCAACTAAGAGTAATGTAATACTACCAAAATTAGCTCATCTGGAAATACTAAAGATACAATTTAACAATACGTGACTTTGTCATGCTAAAGTCAAAACTGACTGCCAGATTACAGTGCCAGGAAGAACAGTAATAGAAAATAAGTTTACTTCCCAGATTTATTACTGATACTCTGATGGAGTGCTTCATCATAACCTAATGTTCAATATTTCTTTAATGTTAACATAAATGACCATGTTTTACAGACTGACCTCCATCCCTGTGAGATGTCTTGCTACGACCTGTGCTCCACCTCTGCCTGCGGCGTCTACCAGCCCCAGCCCATCGCTGACAGCGGGAATGAGCCGTGTGTCCGTCAGTGCCCTGACTCCACAACTGTGATCCAGCCACCCCCAGTTGTCGTCACCTTCCCCGGACCCATCCTCAGCTCCTTCCCCCAGGGTTCAGTGGTGGGATCCTCCGGTGCACCCGTCCTTGGGGGCTTCGGGGGTTCCCTGGGCTATGGGGGCTCCTTGGGCTATGGGGGGTCCCTGGGCTACGGGGGCCAAGGGGGTCGGTATGGACATAGGG